TATATATATATATATATTATAAACATATTGATCAATGCAAACGAACGTTTTCGCAAATTCAAATTCATATGCGACGATTGTCTTACAAATGTTTCTCTATTTATCTCCTCTTTCTTTCGCCTATTTCTTACCGCCTTATTATAGATATTATAATATCTAAACGCGCAGATAATAAAAAATTCCCTCAAATTTTACTTTACATTAAAGAAATTAAAAAAGATCAACAATTTTTGATAAAAATCTTCACAGCCGAAACGCATGAAATTTATTTATGGCCAATATAATTTTCGACTCGTCGCAGCAGGACGTACGAAAATTAGATTTAATAGTCTCTAATGAGGTAAACGCACGTTCACCTGTATTCGCAATTTCACTCAAACACCACTCGAAACACCCCCTTAGAGAGTTTAACTCAAATCGCAACGTTCGTATGTCACTGTAAAACTTTCTTAAGTGCACCATTGTGTATTATCTTATTGTTAGCCTAAATCCCTTCCGTTGTGCCAGTGTAGTAAATAAGTGGTGAGAAAGAAAAACTGTCCCGAGCAATTAGTAACGGCGTTAAAGTACCGAGATACTCGAGTTAGAGACGTAAGAAGAACTGTATGGCCTACGTTCACGCAAAAATCTACAGCAGCGTGTATGACGAGGAAGCTATTAAATCGTTCATTATACGGACTGAGATTCGCGCCTCGCAATATCAAGGTTATTCAAAGCGTATTCCGCGGCAAACGCATAAAAACGGAAAAGCGGATAAAAATGTAACGTCAACATCACACTAGGCTACATACTGACAGATACTGACAAACACGTGTGACATTTCTCGCTCTAACGACACTCTGAAAAATCAATAACGAAGCATACTTGCGTGCTTTGCTGCATTATATTACCGATGTGCACGTTACAAACAATTATTGTAGGACACTTTTCGGGAGAGAAGGGCACGTAAAATCGTTTCCAGATACCACGGCATTGTTCCCTCGTTTCTTTTTCAGGCGTTTCGCCAATTTCTTCTTTCCTTATCTCGGCTCTTTCTGGAGTACCATTACAGCGTAACGCTCAAAGATGATCGCGAACAGTCTTAAACATTATCTTACGTAAATGTAACGCACATAATTTGTAACATAACTTGTCCGAGTCCAAGAGTTCAGATTTCTATAATTCGATAACTCATCTAAAGAAAAATTGTTTTTATGACTAAATCATACGTCGTTATACATTATAATGCGAATCAAGAAAAATATTTATGACGTCAAAAACACAGTAACAAATAACGTCAATAACTGTAACAAATAACATGCATGTAACAATTTGGAATGTAAAAATTCATTAACATTTTTTCTCGGAAAATAAATAGATATTGTTAAATACAAATAAATTAATTAGTTTCTGTTACGTTATAAAACATAATAACTTGAGCTGGCGTAATTATATTGCGTAAAATATCAAACAATATAAAATTTAAAAAGAACGAATTAAACAAAATTCAGAGTATAATAATATAATAAATTTTTATTTTTGAGAATCTATTTTTATATATGATAAATTATGTAAGTCAAACATTTGATAAAAAAGAATTTTAATACAATTTAATACATACTATTACAGTTCAGAATTTCGAGAAACCTCTTATCGCTTCTACTTTCAAAATCATTCTCTAGTTCAAGAAATTCATAGCTGTAGTAATATGTATAAATGCATACACAATAAAAATTTTTATATTTAAAAAGATATAAATATAATAAAAATTTTTTTTATTTTATACATTTTATATTTTTAATATATTAAGATAAGATTTGTAAATTATGATTGTGTATCTATATCAATAATTGATACTGCGCTAAAGCAAAAAAAATTGATTAAAATTGGAAGGTGCACATAAAGGTGCACGATATTAAGGAGTGTAACCTGTTTTATTAAGCTGTTTATTAACAAAAATTGATAAGCAGAAATACATATTATCGGTATCAAGAGATTTGTATTTCTAATGTAAGAAGATAACGTATGCATTTTATGTTAAAAATTGAGCAGCAATGCACACGTGTAATTCTTCATATGGTAAAAACCAAAAAGTGTGTTGACTTAAAGGAAACATTTTCAAATGATTCGCATTTTCCCTTCCGAAACGAACGTCTGAACTCTTGTTTCTAACAAAAAGGATATTCTTAAAAGTGTTGATATTCTTAAAAGTTTGAATGTGAATCTTATCGACTTTCCTTAAAAACTAACACGCTCGAGAATCATCCGAACGCGATTATTTGAGAAAAGCCTTTTATTAGTAACGACATGGGACGCTTATTATAACAAAACTTTCTTCATGAGGAACCTCTTCGTATTCCAAAACTATTCGGAGAAATCGCTTTCTTCTCAAACAGCGAAAAAATTCAATTCCTAATCGATTTTAAAGCTCATTTTGTTCAATCTTTTTTTCTCAAGGAACTATTGCTTATTCTAAAGCAGCACTTTTTTCACCTAATCTCTTTTACCTAATATAGTTTTTTGAACGATAATTAATCTTTCACTTTTAATTCCCTCGAGAATTGTTTTTTATAAAAAGAAACTTTTTCCAAAGCTACAGTAACTACTGATGTTCATTTGATCGCTTGATTATTTAACACAACAACTCGTCGTTCTTCTTCTGATCTTCTACGGATTTCTTGGCAAGAATAAACGTAGCAACGCCATTTCCGGCGCCGCACGGAATCTTCTCGCGCGATCGTACCCCATGCGAATTGTTGTTTATTCTGAAGCAGCGTTGTTGTTGGTCTACTTTGAAGAGCGCATCGATTTCAACGCGACTGATTACTGATATTGTTTGTTTGTCTTATCGATGTGTATCTTTTTCAAATGTCTGCTCAGGCTGCATTGTTGGGTGAACCTCTTGGGGCAGAAAATGCAGAAAAACTTGGGCGGCACACCGCATTCGAATCTGTTATGACGTGACAGGCTCCCCAAGGATTCGTATCTCCTGGTACAAAAATTACACTTCCATTTGCCCTTAGTATTGCGTATCTTGCCACAAACGGTCCTGCGATGGCGCTCCAGGGTGTATCGGTGGGACAGACCTTTGCCGCAATCAGGGCACACGTACGTCTTGGAGTCCTGCAACCTCCAGTGCGAGTCCTGCGTCACAGGCGCGACAGGAGCTATAGGCGTTACAGACACAGGCACGGATGACATCGATAGATGCAGCGGAAGCAAGTTGGGGTTTAAGGGAACCGAATTGGCGATGGTGAGGTCAACCGCGGTCGCGGGTGACGTCGGCGACTTCAGGAATTCCGAGAATTTGGATTTGTTATCTGAAAATCAAAATGGCAATGTTAAGGGAGGTCATGATGGGATCGGATTTAGGCAGAGAAGATAAAAAAAAATTTTGATAAAAGCTTTATTATTGGAAGGAAATCTTTGAATACGGACAGTAGGATGAAGGTTCGAGAGACTCAGAAAATCGCGGATTTTTTAAAAAAAGATTAATATTAATGGTGATTGAACAAGCAGCTGTTAGTTTGTTACGATAAATAAATCCGAGTCTATTGAGTTCCGAGTGGTAAAAAATTTATCAAATCGATAAGAAAAAGGAATCGAAAAAAAAAACGAATAGACTCACGAAAGGGGAATACATGTTAGAACAATTTTCAAAAAAGGAACGATCAATGCGCGATTTATTTAAGTGCTCGAAAGAAATTAAATAATTAATTTTAACGATTAAAAGAACGCGCGACTTCATTCACTCGTGGATAATCGTGAACACCATGGAGAGCGGGCAGGGTAGCAGGAGATAACAAAAGAAATGCTTTATATTTACTGAATAATTACTGAACATACGTACATGTAGTAGTAATATGAAGTTCCCGGCATAAGACGGCGCCGAGAAGAAAATTAGAAAACGGCGTGTGCGCCGTGATAATAATAATAATAAATACTTTAAATGCATAAAAAAATATAACAGCTATTTACAGAGATCTCGATAATTATCGATAATATAAACGTTGAAAAAGTTCGTTATAAAAGAAGTTTCGTTAAAAAAATTAATCTTCAGGTGGAAGACAGGCGTGCACCCGCATCGAACGAAGATTGTCAGGAAGCATAGAGACAACAAACGATTATGACGTCTCGTTGTGACTGATTTATTATTACGTTTGCTACTAGGTAATATGTACTCTGTATTTGTGGATCTATAGGCACAAAGTGTTTTATCAGCATCTACAAATTTATTAACTAAGATCTGCGATCAAGTCTGTAAGAGTCGGATCGCACGGATGTATAAGATATACCATAGCATAATTATGTTCTTCGTGTGATGATCTTCGGGATGTGCTGCGTGTTTTGGGGGTGTACACGTGTGTTACAAGTTTTACTTAATCTTCTAAGGGGCGCTAAAATCTTCGGCGGTACGTCATTTTCGCGGGAAGACAAGGTAGATTATACAGTCATTAAACAAGCGTGTCCACTTGAGTCACTCTTCACTGAGACGTCGCAAGGCTTCCGCTTCCGGGATGGTGAATTCTATCCGGGACAGCCGCGCGTTCCAAGAGCGGACGATCTTCGATAACGATATGGCGGGATCTTCACTTGACGATCTTCCGGCCACACGGCTTCCTCGGCGGCTTAAAAAAGTTGTGGCTCTGCATCAGGTGACGGCGTAGACTAACGTTCTGCGTAAAACTCCGCCCGCACAGCTCGCAGGAGAAGTTCCTGCGACCGCCGCACTCGTACTTCAAATGCTTCGACAGACTGGGCTTGACCTTGTAACCCCGGCCGCACTGCGGGCACTTGAGGGCGAGATCCGCTTCCTTCAGGTAATTCGCGTGTCGCGACTTCCGGGGCGGTCCCGGCTCAATGGTCATCCAGGTCACATCTGGAAGAAGACGAAGATGACAGTCGTGTTAGTCGTGAAGCTCACCTTGCTGACCGAGATCGCCAGACGCGAGTCTTAACGATCGTGACCTGATCCGCGCTAGTCCGCTAGACCTGCACATTTCGAAATCTCTCGAGAAGAGACACGAAAAAGGAGTTTGGTGCGGTCGTCAAAAAATACGTGGCTCGTCAGAGATCTCGTCCGATCGATCGAATTTGATCGACTGAACAACTTGCGATTATTGCACACTTAAAGCGACGACCAATCGCACAATCTGCCTTCAATTATTGATATCTGTTAGGGGATGGGAGAGGAGGGACTAAACGGAGGATTGTTTCAAGCTGGGAGAAATGAGATCGCTCACGTATCTCTCTAATTTCTTAAGGACCGTGATCCGGGACGGATCTACAATTGATAAACGGTCTACATGAGATTAGGCTTTATCCCGTTGACGATGTTATGGTTGGACGACGTAATCGATATTATGGACCGACGTCAAGTGCCGTTGCAAGCTCGTTTTCTGGGTGAAACTTTTGCCGCAGTAGCAGCACGGGAAATAGCGTTTCCCGCCGCACTCCCATTTCATGTGCCTGCGCAGATTGCAAAGCATCGTGTAGTTGCGTCCGCAATTCCGGCACATGTAGCTGCGGGACGACCTCGAGGCACCTGCTGAACGAAAGAAAACGTTACTCTGAGGTTGCGTCCGTGCGCGCGCGGTACAACGAGCGAGCGAGAATTTTCGCGAGGTGAAATTCTAGATTGTTTTTCTGATGCGGGAGATCAATGACGAAATCGTGTTCCTCGTAAAAATATGTTAAAACATCGATAGAAGCAAGATTTAAACACGATATCAATAGACATCTCGCAGCAGCGTTTTTTTCTTTTCCGCCGTCTGGTAGAAAACTTGATTAACGCATGCAAAAACTTATGTCGGAGAATATTTTGTCAGTGACAAAAGCTCGAGATCGCATTGTGTACTTTTATTTTTCCTACGTAAACACGAACCTGGAGATACAGATTCGTTCTTCGTAGGAACAATGCCAGAAACGTCGTTTCCGTTCTTCGCAAACACTTTTGTCACAGATAAAACTCTCCTGAAGAGCTCATACTTTATGTGTATAAATAATGAAACAAATTCTAAAAAAAGGAAATGTAACAAAATCCTGATATGATGTATTATTATCTTGTTCTTGTCAAGACGAAACGTGACTATAACATATATCTTCGTATATGCAACGTTTATCATAGCAACTTATAAAGAGATTTTATTATCTTGGGTAACTATGCAAAACTAGAGACTAGCAATGCCCGGAAGGCTTGGACAAAAACGTTTCATTCACGCGCGAGTTTGAAGTTCAGTCTATCTTCAACTCGACGATTGTCTTTGGGATGTGTTTTTTGGCACAAGTTCCCTCGATTCTTGATTTGTCTTCGACATCTTCCTGCGAAGCCCTCTTGTTCGCCGCTCTTACTGATAGACAATCCGTTCGTACATCTTCCTCGGGTTGTTGTATCTCTTCTTTACGGGCACCACAACGTTGTGATGATGCGTCAGGTGCCTGCGCAGACTGACGTTCTGCGTGTACTTGTTCGGGCACAGGTGGCAGGAGAATCTTCGCTGACCGCCGCACTCGAAGCGCACGTGTCTTGCCAAGTTGTGCTTCAGCGAGTACCTCTTCCCGCAGGCGGAACACTGGAGAGCCTGATCTTCGCCGTCGCCGGGATTCCACGCGCTCGTTCGAACTGCGGCGATCTTCGTGGGCGCGGCGGCGGCGTGAGCCTTTCGGCCGTAGACCGCGGGATTTTCTGAGGGATGGAAGCTCTCGTAAAAACCTGAAAAAAAAACAACGTTCGTGCGCTGATTAGCACGTAGAATCGCAAAACGGAGATCGCACACTGATCTTCCCCTTCGTTTTTACGTGACTTATGCATGGAGAGCCCCAGTGGATGACCGTAGAACAATCTGGTAAATTATATATACTTGGCGCAAGACGCTACCGCGTCTCCTGATTATCCTCAAGTACAGATATTTTGCCTTGAAGAAATATACCTCTCGCGCTACTTACGAATGTGATATACTTACATGACTGTTACATTTTATTCTAAAGACGTGAGGGATCACAATTTCCAACTTCGTAATTAACTTGAAAAAAAAAACATGTAATAGAATAAACAGCAAAATTAAATTCTCTTGGAATTCAGATTAAATTTTTCCACAAAAGAAGTCATAATTCAGATACTGAAATAAAAGACAAATGCGAGTCTTAAATTATACTTCTGTTTCGGAAAAATTAACCATAAATTCTTTCAAGAAGATAATCATGCATGTGTCTTTTTGGGGTATATTTTGAAAACAAAAGATTTAAAAAATAAAACCTGCAAGAAAAAATCTGGAAATTCATATTTATTAATACGCTAAATATTTTTAAGTTTTCGCGTAACAATAACTGACAAATTCTTCATAATTTCGCGTCATTCTTCAAGTTAGATATCTAAACACTTTTTATTTATCAACATTCATAAAGATTCTACATTTTGAAAAAAATATAATCGATGTAATAGCCTAGAAAATACAAATCAAAGAGTTATAAAAAAAAAATCATGCTGTTGATGCATCAACCTGTTACAAAAATAAAGCCTGCTGGTTACAGTGCCGTTATTCGGCTACGTCAATAATAACGATAATTTTCTACAACTATTATGTTTCTGTTTCACACCATGCGAAATTTACAAACAAATTTCGTTTATCACATTTTTATTAATTCCTATCGTAATTGCAATAAACCTATTTTTCTATTTGCAGAGGATAAAGGAAATTAAGATTTAGGTTATTAAATTGATTTTGTACTGGGCAACAGGCCCGTTTATTGTTAACTCGAGACGGCTAATTGTTCGCCGACATAAATTCGAACCTCATCTTTCGAGGGGGCACGAAAATGTGGTGGGCGTTCAACATGTGCTGACGCAACTTGCCGTTTTGGGTGTATCTAGAGGGACAAATCGAGCACGCGAAGTGCTTCTGCCCGCCACATTCGAATCTCAGGTGTTTCACTAAATTGTGTCTCATTTGATACGTTCTGCCGCACTGATGACAACTGAAGACCACGCTGCTCTTGGAGATATCGTCTACGAGGTAGGCGACCTCGCAACCTCGCGTGGCGGCCGACAGCATCTCTGCAAAAGAGGAATGATCGGTTAATATCGAGCGCGATGGAGGTGCAACCAGCGTTTCCCGAGTCAACACCAATAACACCGACTGCGAGGCCTGGTGCCTGAAGGAATTTTCTTTCCTTCAAGATGGGAAGGGGGGGAGGGAGATTAATCGTACACGATCGTCTATCAAAAATTTATTATGACTGAAATATATCTTGCATTTCTAGAAGTAAATTCTTCCCCTCGACAACTCAGTTAATCGAGGTTTTGCTATGCACTTTATATTCTAGTTTACAAACCCTCGCGTGTATTTATTTCTCAATTTGATGATTCATACATTGACAAAACTGGAATATATTACATATTACAAGTTCGACATCTTGCAATACGTGCACTCATTAAACATCATTTTCTTTAATTCTCTATAAAATCCGCGTCTCTGTTATATATATACAAATTATAAATTGCAATAATAAACATGTACATCTAAACTCAAGTAATAAACTTAATAGCGTTTAAGCCTGAAACAAATTAATAAATAAGGTAAATTATAAAATATCAGTATAAATATATAGATAAAAAAATTTCTAATAAAATTATCATTTCCACACACTGAAACCGATGTGTTCTCAACACTTCAAAATATTTTTTATATATTTCTCATTCGACCAATATACACATCTCCTATTTTACTACGTATCAAATTGTATATTTCTTTTTTTTCAAAATCTTTTCGTTCATCGTATGTGACACTTCGCATCAATCAAGAGATCGTAAATTCGCGAGACTTTTACTCACTCCGTCCAAAGGAACTAGAAATAAATCAGCAGTCATTGCGATTTTCCGTCTATGGAAAACATCAGTCCTATTACTCGAGTAAATTAGCAATTTCTTTATTTATTTCGCTTTAAAGATGCGTTTGGGTACAGAGAACTTCGGCGGCATGTAGAGGTTGTGCCTCTGTAAAAGATGACGACGCAGACTGATGTTCTGCGTGTACTTAGACGGGCACAAGTGGCACAGGAAGTTCCTCTGGCCGCCGCACTCGAACTTCATGTGGGTGTTCAGGTTGCGCTTCATCTTGTACGTACGCCCGCATTGCGGGCACGTCAGCGGCATCAGCGGCGTCAACGGCGTGTTCGTCGCGTACTCTTGCGGCTTCCGAAATCCGTACGCGGGCCCTGCAAACGAGAAAGGAACGGTGTTAGAGTATTTCTCCACGCCTGCAACGCCGTGCGCGAGAGACACGGCTGACTGACGTGACGTAACTGCGAAGTCGAACTCTCTTGCCCGCGAGAGACTGGACTGGGATAAACACCTCCGAAGAGAAACGGTGGGACAAGATCAATTTGCATGCACGACCCGGCCTTCGGTCTATCCTTTACGCACACGCGAAACACTTTTATTATACGTTCCTTCGGCCGCACAAACGTTATGCACATTACAACACGTATTACAGCATACCAAGAGAGATTATTACAGATTTGCCGAGGTGAAAGAATGTTTCTTCTTCCCCGCGCGTAACGATAAATAGATAATTCGTTGCACAAAGAATCTCATTTTCTCTTCGTTAGTTGTTATTTTAAATTTGATTGATTACTTCATTACTTTTTACATTTGCTTTTATTACTTTATTACACTTAATACTATACACAGATAATTGGCAATCAAAGAAATGACAATTGTGATCAAGTCCTTCTTCTTTGGTTTGAAACATAACTGTATCGCACCAATTTAAGGATGCAATCGGTAACTTTCTTCGTACTCTTATTTCGTCTCAAATAATATTTAAATTTATATTGCCTGATATAATCTACTTCTTATTAAGACAATGTTATATTGTATCATACACTTATGGTTACTGTATTATATCAGTTTAATTTAGTTCAGTTTAGTTTTGACAATAAAAATTTAAAAAAAAATTAGAGCAAATTTTGTATCAGAAATCAAGTTTCAAATAAGTAAATT